CCGCCCGCAGGCCCTGCCTCGCCTCCTGCCGCGGCCTGGCGCGCCGCGGCTGCACGCCTGCCGCCAGCTCGCCCTCTCGGGCCAGCCGCCACGCTGGAGCCCTCAGGGGTCAGGGGACGCAGGGAGTCCTCGCCCTCCCCCTCCCCGCCACCTGGAGCTCCTCCTGGCGGGCGCAAGGAGTGGCCGTCCTCCTCCCCCGCGATGTGCCGCGGCGGCTGGCCTCTCCCCTCCTGCGCGTCGTCCGCCAGCATCGGCGGGGGCGGTCCGCCGCCGCTGCCACCTGCAGCCGCCCCGTCTTCTCCCTCGGCGGGGCCCGCCTCAGGCCGCTGGCTCTCCTCCTGCTGCTGCTTGGCCACCTTGGCCGCCCGCTTCGGCGACAGCGAGGGCGGCGTCAGAGCGGCTTGCCTCGGTGAGCTGCTGCGCACGCGCGCGCGGCGCCGCGGGCCTGGCCCGTCGCCGCCGCCCGCAGGCCCTGCCTCGCCTCCTGCCGCGGCCTGGCGTGCCGCGGCTGCACGCCTGCCGCCAGCTCGCCCTCTCGGGCCAGCCGCCGCGCTGGAGCCCTCAGGGGTCAGGGGACGCAGGGAGTCCTCGTCCTCCCCCTCCCCGCCACCTGGAGCTCCTCCTGGCGGGCGCAAGGAGTGGCCGTCCTCCTCCCCCGCGATGTCCTGCGGCGGCTGGCCTCTCCCCTCCTGCACGTCGTCCGCCAGCATCGTGATGTTGACTGCCACCTCGCTGACCACCTTCGGAGCCAGCCCCTTCCTCAGCCTCGCGACCGCGGCGGCGCCTGCAGCCGAAGGGACACTCTTGCACTCGAGGTGGAAGGAGCTCGCTCTGGCCGCGCCTGTGAACCCGCACGCCCTGCAAGCCACCAGCGGCATCCTGCGCACCAGCAGCCTCCCATCAACAGGCGCGAGGAGCACCAGGTCGTGCGACGCCTTCTGCTGCGCCTTCAGCCTGTTGTTGGCCCTGATCGCCTCGGCGACGATGCTGCCAGGGCACTCTCCTGATCTGCCTGACCATCTGCAAACCTCGCACCAGGGACGTAGGCCAGGCGGCCTCCTCCAGACGCAGGCCATTCTCGCCGCTGGCTCCTTGCGCACTGGCAGCGCGCGCTGCACCTTCGTCTTGCCGTGCGTGGTGTCGCTGCCGTCGACCCAGCTGCCGACTGCCGCGCACCACATGGCTGCTCGTTCGACCACGTCTCGACTCCTCTCCAGGCACTCTCTGTCCCGCACGGGGAGGCGCCCGCTGGCCGCCGCAGCCTTTGCCGCCCTGTCCGCCAGTCGGTTGCCGTACCAATCTCTGTACAGCACCTCGCCCGCCGCCACCTGCCGCCGCGTGCTGTGGCTGGGCATCCACCTCAGGCTGACCTCATGCCCAAGGCCTCCTCGCTCGTCCAGCAGGTCCCAGGCTCGCCGCCACAGGTGAGCCCACGTGTACGCGTAGCCCGTGGTGCCCACCCTGCCGACCTTGTAGAAGCCGTCGTACACGTACTTGGAGTCGACCACCAGCACCGTGACCCCTTGGCCAAACCTGAGCGCCATGATCACCGCTGTGAGCTCCCCGCCGTTGATGTCCACGCAGTGGCCCTCCATCTGGCCAGCGATGGAGGCTCTGTACCAGTCACTGTGCGCCTGCAGCGCCACCACACTCCAGCCAACTGCCGCCACCTCCTCGTAGCCCGCTTCGAACGCCGAGCCATCGAGAAACAGCTCACCTCCAGGAAGGGTGCCTCCATCGTGGTCGCCCTTCCAGCACACGTCGCTGCACACTGGCGGGCGGCAGATGCCCCGTGGTGTCGGCCACAGGCACCTCTCAAGCAGCAGCTGCACCTCAGGCCTTCCGCTCTGCCTTCGGAGGCCTGCCAGGTCCTCTGGGAGCGTCAGCACCTCACGCCAGCACGGGCAGTCGAAGTGCCTGTGCATCAGCGTGCCCCTGGCTCCACACCTCAAGCACCCTGCACTGGGCGCGGAGGAGGAGGAGGTGATGAAGGAGGAGGAGATGGAAGGAGGAGGAGGAGGAGGAGATGGAGGAGGAGAGGAGGAGGAGGAAGAGGAGGAGGAGAGGGAGGAGGAGGAGGAGGGCGGGTCGCCCAAGCCCTTAGGAGAAACCCTTTTCACGCGCCCCAGGACCGGGCAGCCTTTGCCGCTGAGCCCGAAAGCCGAGCGACGGGTCCCCTTCCGTGCCTACCACAGGGGCCGCCCCAAACCCCCGACGTCATGGTTTGTTCACGACGTCGATCCCCAGGGGTGTCGACCCATTCCACGGGACCAGTTCTTCTCCCTGAATCGATGCTTGACGCTCCCGAGGCCAGGTGAGGACCCACAGGAGCCTAAAGTATCGAACCCCCCCCCGTCGTGATTTTTCCCAGCCATCCTGTGGTGTGGGGTCCTCGTTTTGAAGAGACAGCGCCCTGCGTCACTTCTCCTCCTCCTCCTCCTCCTCCTCCTCCTCCTCATCCCGCTGCCCCCTCCCTCCTCCTCTCTTCATCATCATCGTCATCACTCGTTTCGGCAGCGCCCCTCATACGTTTCGTGGCCCCGTAGAAAGCTCCACCGAAGGCCCCAGTGTCAGGGTCCGCGTGCGGTTCCCCGCCCATTTCGGCACACCCCTCACACGTTCCGTGGCCCCATATATTGGGAGCTCCACCGAACCATGGACCCAGCACGCGATATCCACAACTGCTTCTGGCTGGGCCCTTCGTCAGGCTAAGTCCATGACTCGATGGGGGTCTGGGCATGTGCGCCTCCAGGGGGCCCTCTCGGGTCGGGCGAAAGGGGGGGATAGCAAAGGGGGGGGTTGAGAATCAGCTCACGTAGCTGATTTTCCCGGCGCCTCCTGGCGCCGGAGGCGGCTATGTATCGAGGAATGGGCCCCTCGGTGGGGCCGAAACCAGCTGCATGCAGCAGATTTCGTAACCCCCCCTTTCCCAATCCCCCCCTTTCGCCCGGCCCGACCCTCCCGGGAGCGGCGCTGTGGGCCCGTTCCCGGCGCAGCCTTGCAGGGCCTCCACTGCAGGCCCGGCGCCTGGGGGCGCAGGAGCCGTGCGAGGAACTGCGGCCCTCTTCTTCCTCGCACCGTGCCGGCGCCCTGCGGCTGCCCCTGGAGGCCTCCCATGGGAGCCCCAGGCATGATCGCGTCGGAAAAATATCGGGACGGCAAATTTTGAACTATTTTCGGCCCTCGGGAGCCCTCGCCGGGCCCCGGGACCGTCAGAAAACGACTCAGGACGAAAAACCGGTGCCCAGGGGAAAGGTCGGGACTTCCAAGGACGCCGTCCTGAAAAAATCAGGACGTCGCATGTCTGGGGTTGGGCGCCCGAGTTATCTGGGGTAACTCGGGCCCGGGGAAACTCGGGTTCGGATTCTCGAAAAACGAACCCGAGCTGGCCCTGACCCGAGTTGCCCCTGATAAATTGGGGCTCGATGGACGCCCGAATTGTCCGGGGTAGATCGGGTCCAGAGTAAATCGGGTTCGGATTCCCGAAAAAAAAAAACAGAATTAGCCCTCACCCGAGTTACCCCTGATGATTTGGGGCTCTGGACGCCCAACTTGTCCGGGGTAACTCGGGCCCCCCAGGGTAACTCGGGCTCGGATTCCCGAAAAACGATCCCGAGTTAGCCCTGGCCCGAGTTACCCCTGATGATTAGGGACTCTGGGCGCCCGAATTGTCCGGGGCAGCTCGGGCACAGGGTTACTCGGGATCGGATTCCCGAAAAACGAACCCGAGTTAGCCCTCACCCGAGTTAGCCCTAATGATTCGAGGCTCTGACCCAGGTGCCATCTGGATCGGGGCTCAAGAGACGGGGGTCGATGCGGGGGTCAGCCAGAGCGCTGGATAATGCAGGATCCTGCAGGCCCAGGGTCGCATGAACCCTGGCTTAGGCGCAGAATTCTGCAGGATCTTGCAGGACCCAGCAATCCGATGTCGTAATATTTCAATACCGTGTCCCCAGAAGTCTCGAGTCTCGACCCATTCCCCAGGACCGGCTTTTCATCTTGAGTCGTTTTTGACGGTCCTTGATGAGCCTGGCGAGGGCCCCTTCAAGCCGGAAAAATATGGAAAACCTCCGTCTTGATTTTTATCAGTTTCTGCACGATCCTGCAAGGCCTGACTTACCAGGGTTTGCATTGACCCAGGTCCGCAGATCCCCGACTGGAGATGGTTCCACGTCCTCCCGGGGCGGCCTCTGGGCCATCTTGGGTCGTCGTGGGCGCCTCCCGGGCCGCATTGGGGCTCTCTACGGGGCCGTCTTGGGCCGCCTTTGGGGGCTCTCTGGAGCCGCGTCGGGATCCTCGCCTCTTCTGGCGGCGCGCACAAGGGGATGGAGGGAGGGCGAGGGCTTCTCAGTAGGAAGCTGCGTTTTAGAAGGCGCCGGCCTTACATCTATAGATAAGGCCCGCGCCTTCCAAGAAGCTGGGGTGCTTCTAAGAAAACCTCCCCCCTCCCCCCACCCCCCTCTGCGCGTGGCTGGCTCTTGGCCTGGCCAGAGGCGATCTCGAGAGCTGTTGGGCCGTCGTGCTGGACGCTGCAAGGGTCCAAAAATCGGGTACGCTCGAAATGTGGGGAAACCCAGCAGAAACATAATTGGTTTGCACCGGAAGGCCCTGCTGGGCGTACGCTGGGAGCGCTCTGGGAGGTTTTTGAAAGGTATTGTGGCCATCCGAGGGTCATCTTGGGCTGTCTTGGGCCCTCTGAAGCCGTCGGGACGCCATATTGGATCCTCTTGAGGCCGTCGTCGGCCGTGTCGGAAGCATCTTCGCCGAATTTGGAGGTCCCCTGGACTCGTCTGGATCGTCTGGGAGGCGCAGGCCCCCGGCGGGCCCTGCCGCCAGGCCCCCCCGGGCGCTGCCACCAGATCGATGCACCACGCGCCGAACCCGGCATGGTAGGACAGGTGACGTCGGGCTCCAGCTGCGCCTCCCACATCTCGCTGAGAAGCGCCACGGCAAGCTGCCACTTCTCGCCCTTCTCGCACGCGCTGATCGCAGCGCTGTACATGATGACGCTGCCCTCCAGCTTCGCCACCCACACGTCGCTGAGCAGCGCCAGAGCACGCTGCCACTGCTCGCCCTTCTCGCACGCGCTGATCCCAGCGCTGTAGCTGATGACGTTGGGCTCCAGCCTCACCTCCCGCATCTCGCCGAGCAGTCCCAGAGCCCGCTGCCACAGCTCGCCCTTCTCGCACGCGCTGATCCCAGAGTTGCAGCTGAGTGGCGCCGACCCGTGGCCTCTTGGCACCAAATCTGTCCGAGGGGGCACGTTGGGCTAGGGCCGACACGTTGCCGAAAGACTTTCGTGACGACGGCGGGCTCGAGCCTCGCATCTGCTGTCGGTCGCTGCCTGCAGCCACGGGGTGCTGCTGCCTGCGGCATGATGGTGCTGCTGCTGACTTTGTGCGGTACGCTGCCGCTGCTTGCTGCGGACTGCTGCTGTTCGCTGTTGCTGCTGGGGGCTGCAGAGTGCTGTTCCATGGGGCCCATATGTGCTGACGCAGCCTTCAGCTCGCGAGTGGACCGAGGAGGGAGGAGCAAGACGCGAGGAGTCAAGGTCGAGGGGGAGAACGCGGGGAGCGATCCGAGGGGAGCAAGGAACGAGATGGGAGGAGCGACGGCCGCCGAGAAGAGAGAGAAGGAGAGAGGGGCAAGGAGGGATGACGAAGAGCCGAAAAAGGAGGGGAGGCAGACGCGGGTGTCCGAGAGGGAGAAGCGAGGGGCCAGGGGAGAGGTCGGAGGAGCGAGGAGGAGTAAGAAGAGACGAGCCAGGAGAGGCGAGGAGCGAGGAGAGAGCGGTGAGTGGCGAGGAGCGCGGAGCGAGAAGTGAGGCACCAGAAGATGCCAGCACACAAGTGTCTCAATGGCCTCGGCGCGCGTGGGGCCGAACATCTGGTCTCCCCTTGGGTCGCTCACGGGGCTCTCCTGGGTGACTGGCGTGGTCGCAGGGATCTTCCCTCGGATGCCTCTTGGAGGTGGCTTTTGGGAGTGTGTGTTGGGGCGTCTCGGGGGGATCTTGTGGCCTGGTCTGGGCCTCTTGGGGACCTCCTGGGGCTTTTGAGGAGACTCTTGGCGCCCTGCTGGTGGTCCTGGGGGTCATCTTGGGGCGGAGGGTGCGAGATGCCAGTTCCAGATCCTCCCTGTGGGTCCGTCTTGGGGCCGTCAAGGGCTGTCTTGGGGGCCTCCTGGGCAGTCCTGGGGCCCTCTTGGGCTGTTTGGGAGCCCTGGTGGGATCCTGTTGGGCAGTCTAGGGGCGATGTTGGGAGCCTCTTGGGGAACGGCCTGGAGCGTCGGAAGCCCCGACAAGCTAGGCAAGAGCGTCGAAATCCTTGAAACTCCACAGGGGAACCAACGGTTTTGGCCTCTCGGGCATCCTGGAGGGCCCCTGGGAGCCCGCTTAGGCCGTCGTGGGGACCCCGTTGGCCCGCCTGCACGCCAGGTTGGCAAATTGGCGATTGGGCCGTCTGGAGGCGTCTCGAGGCATCGCAGACCGTCTTGGGGCGCTCTGGAGCCTTCGTGGAGCGCACAGGGGGGCTCTCGGGATGCCACGGGGGGCTCCCAGAGGGCGAGTGAGGCACAGGCCCTTCTGGCACGCCGGGCGCGCTGCGATTTAGATGAGACTACGGTGAGGGTTTTGGATCAAAAACCATTGCCTGAAAGTTGGTGACACTTGAGTCGGGGAGACGTAAGACCCGGGTACGGGGGACTCGGAAATCCCCGACGAGGTCGTCAAAAAAATGACGAGGCCGAGCCTGCATTTTGACGAGGCCTCCCGCTGCAGACATCCCACGAAACTCCTCCTCGTCAAAATCCGAGTCGCGGTCGTCAAAAAACGATGGCGAACCCGAGTCCCGGCAAACCCGGGTCTTACGCTCCCCCGATTGAGGGTTGCCCATGGACTTCACCGCCACCCTCATGAGACAAGGAAGCCTCCATGGTCTGAAGACTCCTGGGCACATTCCTTAACGCACGCCCCCAACTCAGTTCCTACGGGTCGAAGGGTATTGTGGTACCCGCATCCCAGGTATTTGTGGGCCCAAGATATATGCAGCCATATGAAGGTTCTTAAGACGGCAAGGTAGTGTGAACAATCAGATGCGTTAGCCTTCGCGGCGGAAGTCTTTCTGCGACACTTACAATCCGCCGGCCCCCTTGGGGGCAACCAGGCTGCGAGGCGGAGTTGTTTCTATCCCATGAAATTAACAGTTCCAGATCCCAATGCTATTGCTATAAAATTTGCTCAATCTAGTTTCAAGGTTCATGGCTGTACTGATTAAAACCGGTGCGAGAGGGGGAGACTGAACACTGCTGGCTCATCACCTCAGCAATCGCTGGGGGGCCCTGCAATCGTGAAATGCTACGGATTCGCCCGAGGCCACAATCCCACCTAAACTACAATGGATTCGCGGGCCGGTTCATAGCCCCTGCCGTACTTTTTCGCGCGTAGTGATCGCGGCGTTGTAGTAGAGATCGTGTCGAGCTCCAGCTTCGCCTGCCGCATCTCGCTGAGCAGCGCAAGAGCCCGCTGCCACTGCTCGCCCTTCCCGCACGCGCTGATCCCAGCGTTGTAGCTGACTAGGGCTGACCCGTGGACTCCGTCCACGATATCTTTCTGGAATGATTCTCGGAGGAACGGGCTCCTGGGGGGGGGGGCACCGGACGTGGCCATGTATGACAGCTGGGCCGTTTGAGCCCGCGAGGCTCTGGAAGGCGAAGGCTCCGAGGTGTTGGCAAGATGCCTGGAGGAGAACGTGGATTCGACGGGGCGCCCGAGCGGTGCGAATGGCCAAGATGGCTCAAGATGGCGTTCAGAGCGGTGAGAACGGCGAATGCTGCCCAAGATGTCGGGGGTCCGAGCGGCGCGAATGGCCAAGACGGCTCTCAGAGGGCCTCCGAGGGCCACTATCGCTTACTGTAGGCTCGCTCTGGGCGCCAAAGGGCCCTGCGGACCATTTTTCTAAGAAAAAGTGCTTGCAGACCCCTTTGGGGGCCACTTGACATGGCATGGTGACGTTTTCTTGTCGTGACGGCTCCGGTGGGTTGCACGCGCGGCTGACAGCTGGGCCGTTTGAGCCCGCGAGGCTCTGGAAGGCGAAGGCTCCGAGGTGATGGCAAGATGCCTGGAGGAGAGCGTGGATTCGTCGGGGCGCCCGAGCGGTGCGAATGGCCAAGATGGCTCAAGATGGCGTTCAGAGCGGTGAGAACGGCGAATGCTGCCCAAGATGTCGGGGGTCCGAGCGGCGCGAATGGCCAAGACGGTCCAATATGGCTCTCGGGTCCATCTTGGGGCGTCCCGGAGCCCTCTGGGGCCGTCTGGGGGGCCTCTTGGGGCCCTCTTGGCGCGTCTTGGGCCCATCTTGGGGCGTCCCGGGGCCCTCTGGGGCCGTCTTGGGCTGTCTTGGGGCGTCTTGGGACCGTCTGGGGGCCCTCTTGGCCCGTCTGGAGGCCCTCTTGCGGGCCTCGTCGGTGGTCTTGGAGCGGTCTTGGGGACCTCTTGGGCCGTCTTGGAGCGCAGGGACGGCGAAAAGGGGAGAATGCGAGAAACATCGAAAAACACAATGGAAGTCGACGATTTCTCCCGCTCGGGGCCCTGCTGGGAAGCCTCTTGGGAGGCCTCTTGGGGCATTTTGGCCGCCTCTGGGGCCGTCTTGGCCCAATCTTCGGCGTCTTGGGCCCATCTTGGGGCGTCCCGGAGCCCTCTGGGGCCGTCTTGGGGGCCTCTTGGGGCCCTCTTGGCGCGTCTTGGGCCTATCTTGGGGCGTCCCGGGGCCCTCTGGGGCCGTCTTGGGGGGCCGTCTTGGGCTGTCTTGGGGCGTCTTGGGACCGTCTGGGGGTCCTCTTGGCCCGTCTTGAGGCTCTCTTGCGGGCCTCGTCGGTGGTCTTAGAGCGGTCTTGGGGACCTCTTGGGCCGTCTTGGAGCGCAGGGACGGCGAAAAGGGGAGAATGCGAAAAACATCGAAAAACACAATGGAAGTCGACGATTTCTCCCGCTCGGGGCCCTGCTGGGAAGCCTCTTGGGAGGCCTCTTGGGGCATTTTGGCCGCCTCTGGGGCCGTCTTGGCCCAATCTTCGGCGTCTTGGGCCCATCTTGGGGCGTCCCGGAGCCTTCTGGGGCCGTCTTGGGGGCCTCTTGAGGCCCTCTTGGCGCGTCTTGGGCCCTCTGGGGGCTCTCTTGGCGTGTCTTGGGCCTGCTACACTTTTTGGTCCGAATCGCCCTTCCCGCACGCGCGGGTCCCTGCATTGTAGTATAGACTAGGACGAACCCGCGGAACCAGCAGGTCCCCGTGGCGCGCCTCCACACTGGGCCCCCGTCCAGGAAAAAATCCTCCCGAAGCCTTCGGTGTTTTTTTCCTGCCGCCTTTCCGAAGTTGGAAGGCGGGCGCTTCCTCCTTTTCGCCCGCCTTCCGCTCCACGTCCGCCTGGACAGCGTCGGAGCGCCACAGACGGCTATGGAGGGTCTACGGTGTGCCTCTCGCCGCTTGTCTGATCCTACTGGTTTGAACAATTTTGCAAGCATCATGGGGCCTAGAAAAAAGTCAGCCGGATTGCTCTGGTGACTTTTTTCTGGCTGCCTGTTCGAAGCTGGTTTAGGGGCCTTTCGGGGCGTCCTCCTGGGGGCCTATTGGGGCCCTCTCGGGTCGTCTTGCGGCCTCCTAGGGGCCTCTCTGGGCCCCCTTGGGTGCCTCTGGGTTCCTCTTGGGGCCGTCTCGGGCGCCTGTGGATCCGTCTTGGGACAGTCTGGAGGCCCTCGTGGGCCATCTTTGGCCGCTCATGGGGCTGTCTTGGGTGCTTCTTGGGCTGTCATGGGCGCCACAGGAGCCGTCCAGGGCCGCTGGGGCCGTCGTGGAAGCCTGCTGGGACCATCCTGAGGCGTCGTGGGAAGATCTTGCGGGCCTGTATTGCCGCCTGGGACGCTTTACAAACGAAAAACACGGAAATTACGAAAATGTACGTTTCCCCTCAGGATTGGGACGATTTTTGCTTGTGCGGGCTCTGTCGGGCGTCTTCTGGGAAACCACTTGGAGCGTTTTGAGGGCCTCTTGGGCCGTGTGGAAGCGATCTTGAGCGGCTCCGAGCGCTCTGGGATCGTCTCGGGGGCCCTCTTGAACCGTCCTGGGACGTCTTGGGGCTCTGTTGGAGGCCTCGCCGGGCGTCTCGGTGCGCTCTTGGGCCATCTAGGAAGCGCACCGGGGCCCGCTGGGCCTCGCTGGGGCTGCCCGGGCACCGAAGAAGTAGATCGGACGCCCGTCCTCTTCGCACGCACTGGTCCCTGAAAGAAGTAGGTAGAACCATGAAGTAGGACGGCGGGAAGGCGTTGGAAATAGCTTGTGGTTCCGCCCGCCTCCTGAAGAGGAGGGAAGAGGGAAAACCACTCGACTCTTGAAGTAGGAAGGCGCTTGAAAGTATATTGGAATCTGGGAATCCAAAAAATACGTGCTTTCAACGACCGATGGGTAATGTGAACCCGTGGGGCAAATCCACACGTGACCCCGGCAGGGGAGCGCGGTGGGGCCATCTCGGGGCAAGCTTGGGTCGACTTGAGCGCCCCTCGGGCCGTCTTGGGGCTTTCCATGAGCTGCCCCCGCGGCTCTCCGAGGCTGTCCTGCGGCCCTGCAGGAGGCTCCGGGTGCCCCTGGCGAACTTCGAAAAGTGCCCCACGAGGGGCACGAGAGGGCCCGAAGATGGCACCCAGAGGGCCTCCAGGAAACACCCGACGCATGCTGCAACAGGGGAGTGCGTTGTAGCATCCGTCGGGGGGCCTCTTCGAACCCTCTGGGAGCGCTCCTGGGGGCGTCTTGGGATGCACCTGGGGCTCGAGTGGGCCATCCTGAGGCCATCGTGGGTCGTCTTGGGCACCTCTTGGGCCGTCTTTGGGCTCTCTTGGGCCGTCTTGGGGCTCTCCCGAGCCGCCTGGGGAGTCTCTTGGGGAGCTTGGGGGGGGCCTTGGGGCCATCGTGGGGCGTTCCTGAGCCGCCTTGAACCCATACTGCCTGCGGCCACCTCGGCAGACTCTTCAGCCGTCTTAGATTGGTGGCGCGCACAAGGGGGTGGGGTGAGGGGGGAAAAAGCGTCTTAGAAGGAATTTGCTTCTTAGCAGGCGCCGGCCTTGCATCTACAGAGAAGGCCCGCGCCGTCTAAGAAGCAGCGGTGCTTCTACGAAGCCTTCCCCCCTCCTCCTCCTCCTCCTCCTCCTCCTCCTCCTCTCCTCCTCCTCCTCCTCCCTCCTCCTCCTCTCTCCTCCTCCTCCTCCTCCTCCTCCTCCTCTCCTCCTCCTCCTCCTCCTCTCCTCCTCCTCCTCCTCCTCCTCCTCCTCCTCCTCCTCCTCCCCCTCCTCCTCCCCCTACCCCCCCCTGCGCGTGGCCGATTAGAGCCACACGGGCCGTCGTGGAGCCCCGTGGGGCCGTCTCGAGGCCACCTCGGGGGCCTCCTGGGCCGCCCTGGGTCGAGCTCGGGGCCCTCTGCTGGGCCGTCCCCCTGGCGCCCCGAGGCCCGAGCAGGCGAGCGCGCGACAATCCCTAGAAAACCAAGCAGGACTCACGTTAGCGAAAAACGTTCGAAAATCTTGCGAGAAAACCAAATCCTTCGAGAAAACCCTGAGCGGGCCACCCCCCCACCGCCTGCCGCTGCGGAAGAGATGGCGACTCCTTCGATCCTCGAAGGCGAGGCCCTTTTCTGGAACGCCTCGCGTGCTCTTCTCTCCTGCTCCTCCTCCTCCCCCCTCCTCCCCCCTCCTCCTCCTCCTCCTCCTCCTCCTCCTCCTCTCTCTTCAGCCGCGGGGCGCCCTGTTCGCATCGTAAAAAGTGCTCTTCTCTCCTGCAGGCCACGTCGGAGGCCTTGCTGGAGGCGTCTGGGCGAGCGTTGGGGACCTCTTGGGCGGGGGCGTTCTTGGGATTTGTGGTGCCGTCTTGAGGTTCCTGGGCGGTCTCGGGACGCAGCCAGGACGAGGATGACATCGGGCGAGGATAAATCGAGAACCTCTGAGATCTGGCGGCTCTGGAGGATGTATCGGGCGCCGCGGCCTTCTCAGAGCGTTCCGGAATGCCTTGAGAGCGTTCCGGAACGCTCTAGAACGGATACATCCTCGTCCTGGCCCAGTCCGAGGTCTAGCGCCTCTCCCGATGATCCTCAGAACGCGTGTTCGCGCCGACGTGTGTTTGCCCTGAGGCCCTTCAACACGACGCAGGCGATGTAGTGATCTACCGGTTGGGCTGAACGGGGAAAGCACACTTTGGGCGAGCACACGCGCTGAGGATCACCGACTCGCTTGGCACGTCGCGGGGCTCTCTTCGGGCCCTCTTGGGCCGCCTCGGGGCGCCCCGCCGAGTTGGGGGGGGGAGCGCGCCGGGGCTGGCTGGGCCGACCTTGGGTCACTGCAGCGACCTGCTCTCCCCGCACCTGCTGCCCCCTGCCTCAGAAGATGTGTTTTCTCATGCGTGCGGCAAGCAGTGCGCAGCGGCAGGGGTAAGGGAGACGAGGAAGCAGCAAGCCAAACAGAACGCTGGCAGGCATTATGGAGCGCGGTACCCCCTGCCCCGCAGGAACGCACGGCTGCATCCAAGGGCTCAGGGAGCAGGAATCAGGGAAGAAAAAGAAATCAGTCACACCACCCCTGCCTTAGCATAGATAGATGATGGTGTCGGGCTTCAGCTTCGTCGTCCACATCTCGCCGAGCAGCGCCAGAGCGCGCTGCCACTGCTTGCCCTTCCCACAAGTGCTGATCCCGGCGCTGTAGCTGCTCACGGGGAGGTCCAGCCTCGCCTCCCGCATCGCGCCCAGCAGCGCCAGAGCCCGCTGCCACTGGACGCCCTTGCTGCACGCATCGGCCTCAGCGATGTAGCTGACTAGTAGGATGGGGAGGAGGAGGAGGAGGAGGCGGAGGAGGCGGAGGGGGAGGAGGAGGAGGAGGAGGAGGAGGAGGAGGAGGAGGAGAAGGAGGAGGAGGAGGAGGTCCACCCGTGGGAAATCCTCAGAAGGCAGGTCGAACTGTCGGCCCCGAGCGCGCAGGTGTCGCCGACGCGGGCAGAAGGTGAGGGAGAGCGCCACCAGAGAGGGGGGGGGGGGGGGGCCCAGAGAGGAGGAGAGGAGGCCGTAGGGGGACCACTTGCGGGGTGCCGAAGCTTGCTGGTGTGTGCAGGGAGGAAGGGGAGGAGAGAGCGAGGGGAAGGGCGGCGAGAAGGAATACGGCACCAGAGATAGGGGTGTGAAGGCACCCGGAGGAGAAGGAGGCGGGGAAGGAGGAACAAACAAAGAGGGAGGAGCATGAGAGGAGGAGGAGGAGCAGGAGGAGGAGGAGGAGGAGGAGGAGGAGGAGGAGGAGGAGGGAGAAGGAAGAGAACAGAGGAGAATAATGGGAGGGGCTTGCTGGAGCCTTCTTTGCGACAGGGAAGCTCATCCGCAACTATCGGAGTCTGTTCGGGGGCTCTGGAGCAAATCTAAGAGTTGCCTGGGGCCTCTGTGGAATCTGGGGCTTTCTCTGGGGATTCCCTGTCACCCCTGACCGTCCGCAGGGAGGGGCGGAGTCGTGCTGGCGTGTGGAGGGAGGAGGGCAGGAGTGGAAGCGAGTAGGAGGGAGGCGAGAGGCGGTAGGAAACGGAGAGCGACCGCAGAGAGATGGGGGTGGGGGCTCCCAGAGGTGGTGTTCGTGGAGGCCCCCCCTGTCGCCCCGAGAATTGCTGGTAGATGCAGGGCGGAGAGCGGGAGAGGAGGCGCAGAAGGAAGGCGAGCAAAAGAAGGAGGAGGAGAGCGGCATCTTCGAGAGGTGGTGGCTGCTCCAGGAGACAGAGAAGGAGGGGAAGGAGGAGAATAGAAGAGAACGTGCAGAGGCGCTTTCTGGGGCCCCGGTTGGGGTCTGGGGCTTTCTTTGGAGCTCCTGTAGAAGATGTGCCCCCTGCCACCCTTAATCAGCCGTGGGGGGGGGGGGGCGGGGGACAGGGAGAGGGGCATCATGCGTTGTATGGGGATCGGGGTCTCTGGGGCTATATCGGAGCCTCAGTGAGCTCTGGGGCGTCCAAGAGCGGTCTGGGGCCGTTGTGAGATCTGGGGCTGTGGGGCCTCTGAGATCTTAGAACACGCGAAAGGTGGTTTGGCTGAAGGCTCTCGTGGGAGCTCCTGGGCACTTGCCGGAGTCTGTTTGGTCAGGCTGCAGGGCATCTCACAACTTCACGTTGCTGCTTGATTCTTCGCCTCGTGGGGCCGTCATCATGGGCCCGTTGAGGGGGGGGGGCGGGGAGGTGGGGAGGGAGGGAGGAGGAAGAGGGGGAGAAGGAGGAGGAGGAGGAGGAGAAGGAGGAGGAGGAGGAGGAGACGAGGACGAGGAGGCAGAGTAGGAGGAGGAGGAGGGGGCGGAGGAGGAGGAGGAGGAGGAGGAGGAGGAGGAGCTAACGCTTCAGGCACCGACCCTAAGTTCGTGCAGCTTCAAAAAAGAAGAGGATGAGCAAGAGGAGAGGAGGGGGGGGAGGAGGAGGGGGAGGAGGATGAGGAGGACGATGAGGATGAGGATGAGGAGGAGGAGGAGGAGAGGAGGAGGAGGAGGAGGAGGAGGAGGAGGAGGAGGAGGAGGAGGAGGGGGAGGAGGAGAAGGAGGAGGTCCTCGTGGGCGGGCCTTCGGGCCCTCTTGGGGCCCGCATGCGGCTCGCGTCGGATCCTCTTGTCGACTACCCGCAGGAGTGGCCCCGGGCAAGAGTGGCCTCGGGGTGCGCGGCGTTCGAGGGGGGCGGCGCGGGGAGGTCAGATGCGAACGCATTCAGCCATCTGGTGCCCCCTCCTCCCCCTCTTCCTCCAACTCCTCCTCCTCCTCCTCCTCCTCCTGCTCCTTCTCATCCTTCTCTTCGTCCTCCTCCTCGTCGTCCGCCCTCCCCCCATCGCATCACATACAGCCATCTGGGTGCCCAAGTGTGCCCGCACCAAAGGCCACTCTGGCAAAAGAAAAGTCACCCTTACGCGTCGCCGATCTTGGACCAGCCTGCCGCCCCCGTGAGATCAGAAGAGCTGTCCCGGGGGCGTCTGAGGCTGGCTTGGGTCCATCGGGGGGGGTCATCGGGGGACCCGCGCTAGCGCCCCGAAGCGCGCGAGGATCTCGTAGCGCTCGCCAGTTTTGCACTCGCTTGGCACGGAATTGTCATACAAATGGGCGACGATCAAAAAGGGGTCTTGGGCGAGATGGCATAGCGACCTCACGCGGTGGATTACGCGGGCCGCAGGCGCGGCACGCTGCACTGGAGACGAGGGCGCTTACGCGCGACCTTGTGCGGGGAGCTTACGCGCCAATGTCGTCGCAGTCGAACAAGTGTTCTCCTGTCGCTCAGATGATGTTGGGTTTCAGCTTCGCCTCCCGCATCTCGCTCAGCAGTGCCAGCGCCCGCTGCCATTGCTCACCCTTCTCGCACGCGATGGTCACAGCGTTGTAGCTGAGTAGGGCGAACCCGTGGACCTCGCCCACGTCATCTAGATTGTTCAGAGTGTGTATGTCCTGCGGCCGAAAATATCCTCCGGCCTCGTATGGGGTCTTGAGGGTGACTTGGGGCCATCTTGGGCGCCTCATGGGCAGTCTTGGGCCGTTTGGGGCCGTTTGGGCGCCTCTCGGGCTGTCGTCGGGCCATCTTGGGCAGCTCTTGGGCCATCCTGGGCGCCTACTGGGCCATCTTGGAGCCTGGCTGAGGGGCCTGTTCCAAATCCCCCTGGACGGCCTTGGAGCGTTCGGGGAATCCCCAGCAGCCGTCTTCGGCTGGTCTTGGCTCGAATTGGCGAGAAGGTGAGCATCTGTCAAAAACGATGGGGGGGATCAATAATTTCGGTTGCCGCAGCCCGTCTGGACGGCCTCTTGGGCCGTCTTGGGGTCATATTGAAGGTGTTGGGGAGCGCTTCTCGAACCCTCTTGGGCGGCTCTTGGGGCCCGTCTGGGGGCTCCGGGAGGGGCTCCCTCGCGCCGTCTTGGGGCTCCCTTGAGCCGTCTTGGGCTCCTCCAGGGGCCGTCTTGGAGCCCTCCTGAGCCGTCTGAGGGCCCTTGCTGGAGTTCGTTGGCGACCTTGGAGCTTTCGGGGGGACCCCAAGAGCCCTCTTGGGCCGCTCTTGGGTCGAAAACGGGAGAACCTGAAAAACAAGCAAAGCCATAGAAACCTCAATGATTGTTGGCCGCCGCGAGCCTGGACGGCCTCTGGAGCCGTCCTTGGGCCATGTTGGGGCTCTTGGCCCCATCTCGACGCTCCCGGAAGGCGTCCCGAAGCGTGCTCGAGCCGCCTGGAGGCACGCCGGGCCGCGCCAGGGGCGCCAGGGGCCCGCCGAGGCCGCGCCAGGGGCCCGCCGAGGCCGCGCCAGAGGCCCGCCGAGGCCGTTCTTAGATGCTGGATCCGTGTCCCTTCCCGCACGCGCTGCCCCCGGCCATGTTAGGAGAGAAGGCGCAGTCTGACCCGTGGACTTACCGTCCGCAAAATGCCAGTTTGCCGAGTGCCCGTGCTGTTTGCTCATTGCTTCAGGGTGCGCTTCAGGGTGCTCGTTCCTTCAGGGTGCTGCTGCTCATTGCTTCAGGGTGCTGCTGCTCATTGCTTCAGGGTGATGCTGAAGGCGTCCAGAACAGCGACAACAGCAGTATCAGCGCAGCAGATCCCGGAGCATGGGCAGGCAGCAACAGCAGCAGCTCGTCCTCTTCCTCCTCCGCCATGTCGTCTTCCTCCGCCCTTTCTTCCTCCTTGTGCTTGGCTCGTCATCGTATTCCGCCTCCTGCTACTCCTGCTCCTCCTCCTCATCTTCGTCCTCCTCAATCTCCTCCTCACCCTCATAAGCATGTTCAGCAGCATCATCATCATCATCAGCAGCAGCATCATCATCACCACCGCCATCATCATCATCATCATCATCATCATCATCAGAAGCAGCAGCATGATAATCACCATCGTCAGCATCCTCATCATCATCATAATCTTCCTCCTCCTCCGCCTCCTCATCATCAGCAGCAGCGTGATCACCCCCATCATCAATCACCACCGCCATCATCATCATCATCATCATCATCATCATCATCACCATCATCATCACCATTATCATCATCAGCATCATCAACATCATCATGGTCATCCTAATCCTCATGCTAATCCTCATCATCATCTTCATCCTCAACCTCATCATTATCAGCATCATCATCAGCAGCAACATCAACATCATCATCGTCATCATCGTCATTATCATCAGCATCGTAACCGGGATGGCTATCCGCATCCTCCTCATCATCACCATCATCAGCATCCTCATCATCATCCTCATCCTCATCCTCATCATCATCATCATCAACATCATCACCATCAACAACACCATCATCAACATCACCAGCATCACCGTCACCATCATCATCAATATCATCATCCTCATCATCCTCATCTTCCTCCTCCTCTTCCTCATCCTCCTCGTCGTCGCGCTTGGCCTGTCATCGTCCTTCGGCTCCTCCTCCTGCTTCTCGTCCTCCTCCTCCTCCTCCTCCGCCTCATCCTCATCCTCATCCTCATCCTCGTCCGCCTCTTCCCTTCCAGGACGTCGTGCAGTTCCGAATCCGCGGTCAGGAGCGCCTGTGGCGTAGGAGAGCGACGACTGGGAGGAGAAGGAGGAGGCCCAAGATGATTGGGAAAAACCACCCCCCATTCCTCTTGGGACACGTTCGGCGCGGGAGGGGTCGCAGAAACAGGTTTCCCGAGTGGCCGCAGCTGGATATGACAGCTATTTTCTTCAACCCCTCCCTCGCAAGAGGTGTCCCCAGAGGTGTGGTTTATGGTTTTTGTCCCATGAGGTGTTGCTCTCTGAGGGCCTGTCGGAGCAGTTCGGTGTGAACTGCTGGAGGCTTTCGAGGAGCCCCCAATATCACGTGTTCTCGTGAACCGGGGCCTCTAAGAGTAGGAGCATGTCAGAGCCGTTTCTAAGGTGCTTGAGGCTGTCTGGGAGCCTCTTGGGAGTGTCCCAGAAACCGTCTTGAGCCTCTGGGGGGCTTCCTAAGGGCTTGCTGGCCGTGGGAGGGGCGGGAAGGGGTGGAGAGCACTCCACCGTTGGCCCTGTTGGGCCTCCTTTGGGGCCGTCTCGAAGGCTGTCCGACCGTCTTGGGAGTGCCAGGAGACGTCTTGAAGGTTCCTGGGGCCGTCGCAGGGGCTCTCTGGGAGCTCCTGGGGCGGGTGTCTTGTGCCGCAGAAGCGATCGTAAGAGGAAATAGGTTTAGGTCGGGCATGTGCATTTGGGAAGATAATTCTAATATGTTCAAAAAAATACGCAAACAAGCCAAAAAGAATCGAGAAGTCGTCGCCAGACTAGCTGTGGTACCATATTCCTCCTGCAGGGGGACGTGCCCGATTTGAAAGGAGGAGGCGTCGCCGCCGCGGGCCCGGCGGGCGCGGACCCAGTGTGTCCTTCCGGCACGCGCTGCGCCCGGTTCTGTAATGCAGGGCCCTCGGAGAGTGGAGAACAAGTCCTCCGGGGTTTGCGATGCGCCTCTCGCCGCTTGTCCGCTGCCCGCGGCTTGAGCGCAGCTTTGGAGCCTCTTCCTGGGGGCCTCTTGGAAGCCGGTCGGGGGCCTCTGGGGGGTCTTTTCGGCCTGTTGGGAGCCTCTGGGGCCGCCTTCGGCGCCTCGTGGGCCGTCTTGGGGCTGTCTCGGGTGGCTCTCGGGCCGCCTTGGGGCCGCTTTGGGCCGTCTTGGGCCGTTCTTCGGGCCCCCTGGGGGTCCTTTTGGGTCGTCTTGGGCACCCTCTGGGCCGTCTTGGAGCCGTCCTGGGGCGTCTTGGGGCCTTCTGCGGGGCCGATTGGGAAGATTGTTGCTCCTTGGGGCCCTCTTGGAAGCTTTCTTCGAGGCCTCTCGGTACGTCTTCGGAACCTCTTAAGCGGACTTGGGGGGCCTCACGAGCGTCTGGAAGCCGTCTTGGAGCCGTCTGGAATCTTCTTGGGGCCACCGTAGGCCGTCTCGGGGTCACCCTGCGGCCCTCCGGAGGAGTCATGGGGCGTCCTTGGGGCCGCCTGGGAGCACGCACGAGCCATCTGTCACGCTTTTGGGTTACTGGATCCCTCGCCCTTCCCGCACGCGGCGCCGCCGCCGTTGTACTGCAGATAGGGCTGGCCCGTGGATTGCCGTCCACGAAAGCCCGTGGTCAGAGTGGGCTCGCTGTTGTTCACACTGCTTTAGGGTGCGCTGTTCGTTGGATGATTCTGACAGCATCCAGAGCAGCGCTGGCAGTATCAGCGACAGCGCTTCCAGGGGCATGGGCAGTAAGAACAGCAGCAGCTCCAGCAGCAACAGCAACAGTGCGGCTCCAGCAGCAGCGGCAGCAGCTCCAGAAGCAGCAGGAGCAGCAGCAGCAGCAGCAGCAGCAGCAGCAGCAGGAACGCCTGTGGCCGAGGAGAGCGACGACCGGGAGGAGAAGGAGGAGGCCCAAGATGATTGGACAAAACCACACCCCACACCTCTTGGGACACGCTCGGCGCAGAGGGGTCGCAGAAACAGCGTTCCCGAGTGTCCGCGGCTGCATCGGGCAGCTATTTTTAGAACCCCTCCAGCGGTAGAAAAAGTGTGTGTGTGTATGTGTATGTGTGTATGTGTGTGAGTGAGTGAGTGAGTGAGTGCGTGCGTGCGTGCGTGCGTGCGTGCGTGCGTGCGTGCGTTCGTGCGTTCGTGCGTGCGTGCGTGCGTGCGTGCGTGCGTGCGTGCGTGCGTGTGTGCGTGTGTGCGTGTGTGCGTGTGTGCGTGCGTGCGTGTGTGCGTGTGTGCGTGTGTGCGTGTGTGCGTGTGTGCGTGTGTGCGTGTGTGCGTGTGCGTGCGTGTGCGTGTGGTGTGCGTGTGCGTGTGCGTGTGCGTGTGCGTGTGCGTGTGCGTGTGCGTGTGCGTGTGCGTGTGCGTGTGCGTGTGCGTGTGCGTGTGCGTGTGTGTGTGTGTGTGTGTGTGTGTGTGTGTGTGTGTGTGTGTGTGTGTGTGCGTGTGTGCGTGTGTGCGTGTGTGCGTGGGGCTTTTCCAAAATCATATGGTGGTTCGATCATATCGTGGTCGTTTGGAGTGAGCTACTTGAAGTCTTCGAAGAGCGCGTGGGGTATCGCTGTTTTTCCAATGGTCTTGGGCCTCCATGGAGCATGTCAGAGACGTCTCGAGGGAGCTGCTGAAGGCCTTCCGGAAGCCTCTGGGGAGTGTCCCGGAGGCCGTCTGCGAGCCTCTGGTGGGGGGTCCTGGGGGCTTGCTGGCCGTGGGGGAGGGGGGGGGGGCGGGAGGAACAGGAAATGCTCCACAGTTGTCGTCCTCGTGGCCCTTTGGAGCCGTGTGGACCCCAGGCGGGGGCCTTCTCAGGCCGTCTGGGAACCAGCTTGCGCTGCAGAGGAGCGCTCTGGGGGTCTCTCGGGCCACTCGCGGTCTCGGGGCAGGTCGCCGGCGCCGCACAAGTGGCGCCACGGAGGCGACGCCGCCGCGAGCCCAGCCCGGCGGCGGATGAGCCCAGTGTTGTCACAGAGATGACGTCGGGCTTCAGCTTCGCCTCCCGCATCTCGCCAAGCAGCGCCAGAGCCCGCTGCCACTGCTCGCCCTCGCACGCGCTGATCGCAGCGCTGTAGCTGATGACGTTGGCCTCCAGCTTCGCATCCCACATGTCGCTGAGCAGCGCCAGAGCACGCTGCCATTGCTCGCCAATCCCGCAAGCACTGATCCCAGCGCTGTAGCTGATGGCGTCGGGCTCCAGTTTCGCCTCCCGCATCTCGCTGAGCAGCTGCAGGGCCCACTGCCACTGGCCGCCCTTCCCGCACGCACCGATCCCAGCGTTGTAGCTGACTAGGGCTGACCCGCGGCCTTCCGGCCGCGGAATCTGCTCGCCATGGCTTGGACGTGGAAGTGGAGCGTCTCTGGGGCCTCGCGGGTAAGGGGAGGTTGGAGGGGACGGTGTGGATGGAGGACGTGGCCGCTGGAGGGGAAGGTGGGCGAGGGATGCAGGCAAGCAGGCCTGAAGGCAGGAACGCGCTGGTGGAGGCGGTGTCAATGGAAGCGCACCCATGTAGGCATGACAGCTGTTTCTGACGCCGCAGTCTGTGTTCATCATAGCTTCTGCGGGGAGGGCAGCCATGAGAAGTTATCTGCTCTTCGCCGGGACCGAATGATGACAATTTGATGTGGTAGTGCGGTGACAATGGGGCCAGTGGGCGCGGCCTAAGAGGCCCGCAAGAGGGCGGCGAGACGTAACTCCCTAAGACGGCCCCAGTGCGAGGACACGAATCGCCCCAAGACGTCCCCAAATGGCGCCGAGGTGGCTCGCAGTGGGTCCAAGAAGCCCCCAAGACGATACTGGAAGTTCGACGCTCCCCAAGAGAGAAGCATCCACCGCCTCTTGGGGGCCGCTTGGGGGCCCTTTTCGTCCTCCTGGGGGTCTCTTGAAGCCCTCTTGGGCAATCTTGAGTGCGTCTTGGGCCGTCTTGGGGCGATGTGGGGCCGTCTTGGGCGCCTCTCGGCATCTTGGGACAGTCTTGGAGCTATCTTGGGCAAATAGTGGGCGCTCTTGGGGTTGTCTTTGGTGTTTCTTGAGCCGTCTTGGGCGCCTCTGGAGCCGTCCCTGACGGCCCAGAGACCGTCTTGGAGACTGTCCAAACGGAAAGGCTTGGAGACGGGGCGGTGGGGGCATCTACAGCCGTCTTGGAGACGGGGCGGTGGGGCCGTCTTGGGCCATTGTTAACTGCTCTTGGGGCTGTCTTTGGTGCGTCTTGGGCCGTCTCGGGGCCCTCCTGGGGCCCTCCTGGGAAGCCTCTTCGGCGTCTCGTGGGCCGTCGTAGAGGCGTCTTGGGCCGTCTTGGCGCCGCAAAAGGCAGTCTTGGCTTGTCGTGGAGCGCTCTTGGAGCGTCTTGGGGATACCTGGGGCCGTCCTGGGAGCCTCTTGGTGTCACCCTGGGGCCGTTGTGGGCGCCTCTTGGGCTCCCTTGACGCCCTCTCGGGCCGGTTTTCGTTCGTCTTGGGGGCCTCTTGGGCCGTCTTGGGGCGGTCGTGGGGACCTGGAACCAGCTTCTGCGCCATATTCCCGTGAAGCAGCGCATGCTGGAAGTGATCGTTTTTCTGCGGGAAAACAATGATTTTCGCCTCTGGGGGCCATCCTTGGACGCCTCTTGGGCGTCTCTGGGGCCGTCGTGGAGGCCTCCTGGGCCGTCTTGGGTGTGTTTTCGGCGGTCTTGGGCTTTCTTGGAGCGCTCTTGGGCCGTCTTGGGGGTGTCTGGGGTCGTCCTGGGCGCCTCCTGGGAGCCTCTTGGGGCCGCCTGGGGGCCGTGTTGGGCGCTTCTTGGGTCTCTGGACGCTCTCGCGGGCCGGTATTCGTGCCTCTCGGGGGCCTCTTGGGCCGTCTTGAGGCGGTCGTGGGGGCCTCTTGTCCCGTCTTCTGCGCCATACTCCCGACAAGCAGTGCGTGCTAAAATTTGACGCTTTTCTTTGGAAAAAACAGTGATTTGGACCTGTGGGAGCCATCCTGGGGCGCCTCTTGGGCGTCTCTGGGGCCGTCGTGGAGGCCTCCTGGGCCTTATGGGGGCCGTTGTCGGCAGTCTCGAGCTCTCTTGGAGCGCTCTTGGGCCGTTTTGGGGGTGTCTGGGGCCGTCCTGGGCGCCTCTGGGGCCGCGTGAGCGCCTCTGGGGCGTCCCCGGAGCCGTTGTGGGGCATTGTAAGCCCATCAAGACAGGGACACTTCCCGCACGCACGGGCCCCTGCATGGTAGAGAAGACTAGGGCTGACCCGCGGCCTTCCGGCCGCGGAATCTGCCCGCCATGGCGTGGACGTGGAAGTGGAGCGTCTCTGGGGCCTCGCGGGTAAGGGGAGGTTGGAGGGCACGGCGTGGATGGAGGACATGGCCGCTGGAGGTGGAGGTGGTCGAGGAGGGATACAGGCAAGCGAGTGATAACTTTATCTGGTAGTGTGGTGGCAATGGGGCCAGTGGGCGCGGACTAGGAGGCCCACAAAAGGGCGGCGAGACGGCCCAAAAGGTCTCCAGGAGGGCCAAGAGGCTCAGAAGGCCCCACGAACTCCCTAAGACGGGCCCCAGTGCGAGGACACGAATCGACCTTTCGAGCGCAACGCCCCAAGACGTCCCCAACTGGCGCAGAGATGGCTCCCAGAGGGTCCAAGAAGCCCCCAAGACGACGCTGGAAGTTCGACGCCCCCCAGGAGAGAAGCATCCAAGGCCTCTTGGGGGCCGTTTGGGGGCACTCTTTTCGTCCTCCTGGGAGTCTCTCGGGGCCCTCTTAGGCAGTCTTGAGTGCCTCTTGGGCCGTCTTGGGGCGATTCGGAGCCGACTTGGGCGCCTCTCGGACCATCTTGGGGCCGTCTTGGGGCCATCTTGGGCCGATCTTGGGCGCTCTTGGGGCTGTCTTGGGTGTTTCTGGGGCTGTCCTGGGCTGGAGCCATCCCGGACGGCCGACGGACCGTCATGGAGACTGTGCAGACGGAAAGGCTTGGAGACGGGGCGGTGGGGGCCTCTACAGCCGTCTTGGAGACGGTGCGGTGGGGCCGTCGTGGGCCATTATGAACTGCTCTTGGGGCTGTCTTGGGTGCGTCTTGGGCCATCTCGGGCGCCTCTGGAGCCGTCCAGGGGCCGTGTGGGGCCGTGTGGGGGCCCTCCTGGGGGCCTCTGGGCGCGTCTTGGGGCGAGCTGGGGGACCTGTATAGCCGTCTTGGACGCTGTGAGGACGAAAAAACAAGATATTGTGAACATGTGCGTTTCCCGTCGGGAATGGGAAGATTTGGGCCTCTTGGGGCTCTCTCGTGGGGGCCCTCCTGGGCCGTCTCGGGAGCCCCCTGGCCTGCCTTGGGGGCCTCTGGGGCTGTCTTGAGGATCCCACGGGTGCTCTGAGGCCGTCTTGGCGCCCCCTGCAGCCTCTCGAAGCCGTCCCGTAGGCCATTATTGGCTGCTCTTGGGGCTATCTTGGGTGCGTCTTGGGCCATCTCGGGCGCCTCTGAAATCAGTCCCGGGGCCGTGTGGGGCCGTGTGGGGGCCCTCCTGGGGGCCTCTGGGCGCGTCTTGGGGCGAGCTGGGGGACCTGTATAGCCGTCTTGGACGCTGTGAGGACGAAAAAACGAAACATGGTGAAAATGTGCGTTTCCCGTTGGGAATGGGACGATTTGGGCCTCTTGCGGCTCTCCTGGGGGCCCTCCTGGGCCGTCTCGGGAGCCCCCTGGCCTGCCTTGACCTCCTGGAGGCCCTCCTGGAGCTCTCCTGGAGGCCCTCCTTGGACCTTGGGGGCCTCTAGGGTTGTCTTGGGGCTCCCAAAAGTGCTCTGAGTCCGCCTTGGCGCCCCCTGGAGCTCCTCGGAGCCGTCCCGACGCCGTTTTGGCGGCATCTGCGCCCCCGAGGGCGCCCCGGAGGGCCCGGGGAGTGGGACCTGGAACCATCTTCTGCGCCATATTCCCGACAAGCAGCGCATGCCTCTTGGGGCCATCCTTGGATGCCTCTTGGGGCCATCCTTGGACGCCTCTTGGGCGTCTCTGGGGCCGTCGTGGAGGCCTCCTGGGCCGTCTTGGGTTTGTTTTCGGCGGTCTTGGGCTCTCTTGGAGCGCTCTTGGGCCGTCTTGGGGGTGTCTGGGGCCGTCCTGGGCGCCTCCTGGGAGCCTCTTGGGGCCGCCTGGGGGCCGTGTTGGGCGCCTCTTGGGTCTCTGGACGCTCTCTCGGGCCGGTCTTCGTGCCTCTCGGGGGCCTCTTGGGCCGTCTTGGGGCGGTAGTGGGGGCCTCTTGTCCCGTCTTCTGCGCCATACTCCCGACAAGCAGTGTATGCTGAAATTTGACGCTTTTCTTTGGAAAAAAACAATAATTTGGGCCTGTGGGGGCCATCCTGGGGCGCCTCTTGGGCGTCTCTGGGGCCGTCGTGGAGGCCTCCTGGGACTCGTCGGGGCCGTTTTCGGCAGTCTTGAGCTCTCTTGGAGCGCTCTTGGGCCGTTTTGGGGGTGTCTGGGGCCGTCCTGGGCGCCTCTTGGGCCGCGTGAGCGCCTCTGGGGCGTCCCCGGAGCCGTTGTGGGGTATTTTCGCTCGATCAAGACAGGGACCCTTCCCGCACGCACGGGTCCCAGCATTGCAGAGAAGATTAGGGCCGACCTGTGGACTACTTCCACAAACTCTGTACGAACTGGCATGTGGTGGCGGACATTCTGCCCAAAGGCTGACATGATGACGTGAGGCTGGAACGTCGCATTCCGCGCATGCCTATGCGCGCTGCTGCTTGCTGCCACTGCTGCGTGCTGTGCTTACCACTGCTGCGTGCTGCTGCTGCTGCTGCTGCTTGGGGCCGTGATGGTGACACCTTCTGCTTTGTGCGTGCTGCCGCCCGATGCCCGCTGCTCATGCTTGCTGCTGCTGTGCGGTCCAGCTGCTGTTGCCCGCACGAGGCTGCTGCTGTTCGCTGGTGCTGCTGATTGATGCTGCAAGGTGAAACTCCACGCGACTTCAGCGTTCTGACGAGGCATGCTGCCAGGAGAGGATCGAAGAGCGAGGAATCAGGATCGATCACACCGAGGGGATCGAGGGGGAGAGGCGACGAATGATCGGCGAAGGTAGAGGAACGACAAGGGCGGAGCGACGGCCAAGCGGAGATGGGCTTGTCGAGGTTCGCGGAGGTTTGTCGACCATGTAAACCTCTGAGGACTCTTTTCGGGTTTTGGGACGTTCAGTATCCCACCAGCCCTTTAGGGCGTAGGTGGTCTAGGGTGTGTTGTCTTCCATAAGGGGAAGGGCTTTCCACGGTTCCTTATTAATATATATATATATGTATATGTATATATATATATATATACACCCCCTTCTCCAGGCGACCGGCGAC